TCTGATTTTGTGTCCTTTCTGTTTGCATTTTCATTAAAAATTCTTTTTTATTTACATATTTAGTCCATGTTATCCTTCTGTGGAACCATCATTGCTGCCTCAAGTGTCTTCTTCATCTGTAAGTATATGGTCCAGCATTCATTGCTGTATAAGAGGACCAGTGTTACATTTATTTGTTTTGTTTGTTTAACAGCATATCAACTCCTTATGGATCATTTAATGTTGAAATTTAAACTTTTTGTGAGCTTTGAAGTAATTATATATGTTATTCTACTTTCACAATTGAGTACATGGTAGATGATACTCTGCTTTTGTGCATATAAATGTTTGTGTGGACATAATTACTAGATGTAATATGTGTGTTTTATGTTGTAGTCTGTTGAAGTTATATTTTGGAATACCATTTGATTTCTCTAAGAAATTGTATGATATTCTATGGATTAATGTCATGAAAGAGTTCTTTCCTGTTGGTTGTGTGGTTGATTTTGCTTTGAGGCATATCAACCTCTGTGGGTTATTTAATGCCGAAATCTAAATAATTTGTACATAATTTATATTTTCAGGGCAAAGGTATGCTTCTTACATATAAAATGTAATGTTGGTAATTATACTTTAAAAAAGTAATTTCATATATATATATATATATATATATATAGTGTTGCATTGTCATTTCTCTATAAAAATGTATTGTTGATTCTTATTTGGGGGTTGACTATTTGCCTATAGCTGGGACCCTAACAGATGCTACCACCCTGGGTCAGGGTGGACCTGGGAACAATAGCAATTAAAAGGTGGTTCCATGCTCCTCAAAACCTCCAATCTCCCAATTAGAGGCCTTCCTGCTTGATGCAGTTTATCGTCATACCCAGGACGACCAGTTTTACTTAAGAGTTCAGCACTCTTTTCTTTGCTTCTAATGAAATTTTCCCATTTTCCTGCATCTTGAAACTATGGACAGAAAATGTGAGAAACAAAGAATTTCTAAGAATAGAAAGTACAAAGCAAAGGCTAACAAGTAGAAAGTGACAGCTATAATGTTCAGGACACATCCTGAGGAAAGAGGGCAAAGAGAATTTAACACTCAGAGGGCACACTGAAGGTAAAAAAGGCAGAGGAAAACAGTGAGTAAATTTATGAAAGAGTAAGTACAACAAAGACAAAGAAGAATTATTAGGAAGAACAAAAGACAGGAAGTTGTGGAGAGCCATGATCTCTCATATCCTGAAATGACACATTACACAGAACATCAGTCTGCTACATATCCCTCATGTTCACTTCAACTTGATCCACCAAATCAAACAGTCTTATGGATATAATCATGTTGAAACACCATTTCCTGTATGATTACTGATGTTAAGCAATGTTGAGCCTGGTCAGTGCCTAGATGAATGACTGCTTGAGAATAACAGGTGTTGTAAGCTTGGATGTACAAGTGGTGATAATGGTTCAGGACTGTTAATTGGAGAGACGAATTCCAATTCTTGTTGTGCTTGTTATAATCACTTATGCGCAAAAACTCTTAAGAAAGGTATGAACACATCTCTTCTCCCTCCAGCTATGGGTTAATTAGTGTAACTTGTATCAGTAAATCATTATTATCTCCAAAAAATTCTTACAATCTAAAAATATTTTCTGCCTTTCAATAACCTGGAAAAGGTTGATATACCGTAAAAAATCAATCAATACACTTTAAAGTACATTGGAAAATACTATTCTGTTTGTTTCTATGTAAATCTTTGGGGCTTTTCTACCTCAGAGAACAGTATAATGTCTGTCTGATCCTTGATTCATCTAAGCTAGCCAAGAATCAATACTTTTATTCCACTTGTCTGTATCTATTTTTTTTTTATCTAGGATATGGATGTTAGCAAAAGGAAAAAAAGCCCATCATACAAATTACAGATTGGAGATACTGAAATCAAACAGGTGCAACAATTTAGATAACTCAGAAGCGTATTGACAGAGGACAGAAAGGGTAGCATGGAAATTCGAAGGCACATTGTGATAGCAAAAGAAACAGAAAAATCACATTAGAAATAATGAGAAGAGTACTAAATTATATAATGTCAGTCCACCTACATGGCAGTGAATGCTGGAAAATCTTCTCATAGATGAAGAAGAGACTCAAAGGAAAAATGTGGTTCTACAGAATGCTGATGAGAATATTATGAACCAAATATATGAGTAACGACAAAGTTCTAGAGACCATGGCAACAAAAAGGACACTTATGCTTAACATCAGGAAGAGGTAGTTGAAATTTCTGGGACACATAATGAGGAAAGGGGGATTGGAAAATTTAATACTCACAGGACAGATTGAATGCAGCACACAACCTACCTGGAGAGCTTGATCGAATGTATCGTGGAGCAGGGTTTTGAAGAGAGGACAAAAGTTATTAAGAGATACATTGACAGGGAATTGTGAAAATCCATGATTGCCAATGTCCTGAAGGGCATAGAATAATAATAATAAGTGTGTAGTATCTGTTCTATTCCTGAAGCTCCTGAACTGGTGTCAGTTATGCTTTCTCACTGATCATCTCAATCAGGCCTGCACAAAATACAACTCATGGTCAGATGTGGTCTGCATGTCTACCCGATGTAGTTTATCAATAGATTTCAAAATAGTACATTTTTGTGTTCATCTCATATGAAAAATTCAGTTATTAAGAGATACAATGGATGGGAAATCGTGGAGAGCCATGATCGTTAATGTCCTGAACTCAAACAGGAGTAACAATTTAGATAACTGGGAAAAACATTAACAAAGGACAGAAAAATTTTTTTAGTAAAACTTGTATCACTAAATCATTATTTACTTTATTCAGACTATTGTCCTCATCTTTGTCGCCATATTTATTACAACGTTTTGGCTGTTGTATGCTCCGGCCTTCTTTGGGTGGTTGCAATGTCGAACTGAACCCTTTATTTCGCTCACTGGAGTAGATTGTTCTAGTTCCACATGCGTGTTTGATGGATGTCAGCTATCAGTTATCTCCTGTTAATTTTCCCTCTGAAAGTTCTCCACTGCCTTAACCGAGTATTGGATAAAGGCGTTGGTTAGATCCAGTGACAAGACCCAAAGTGTGTGAGTTCAATACAAAAACATCAACCTAGAGTTTTCTGATAAAATGTAATATGGAATAAAACTAGGAATAAAATAATAATAATAATAATAAAGGAGGAGGTATGGTGGAGTAATGGATAGTGGCTCAGATGGAAGAATCAGAGAGCCACATTTGAATTCCAGTCAAATCCATTACATTCACTTATGTGCTAATACCCTTGGGAAAGGTATGAATCCTCTTCTTCTCCCCCAGCTATAGGTAAATAGCAGGACAGACTGGGTTCTATAGCCTTGGATGGCAACTGGTCTACCGCAGAAAGAAATGGTAACCTACTGTGGGAAAAAAATCTGCCTCGTTAGTCATATATCGAAAGATACATGATCGCCTAAGTGTGTATCACACATGGCACATAACTAACTGAATAATGAAAAGTGTATTGAGCCAGAGTGTTAGAATAAAAAGCAACAATAATAAGATGTAAGAAAACTAGTAATAAAATAATAGTAATAATGAAGTGTGTATTGACCCAGAGTGTTGAGATAAAAAGCAACAATAGTAAGATGGAACAAAACTAGTAATATAACTCTTTTCAAGTTTAACTGCAGTAGCCATATTGCCAATTTCGGTCAGTCATTTTTTAGTTATCACAGTCGGATTTGATAATATAACCTTGAAATCTGAAAACACTATTGACCAAACTGTTAGTGTTACTATCTGTTGAAATGTATAAAAATCTTTTCTTAAACATGTTTAAGCACCAGTTCCTGTATAGTCACTGAAGTTAAGCAACATTGAACCTGGTCAGTGTATGGATGGGTGACAACTTGGGAATACCAGGTGCTGTAAGCTTGTATGTGTGGATAATGTAATGGTTTGGAATTGTTAATCAGAGAGCCGAGTTCTAATTGGGTTCATTATATTCACTTATGTGTAAATATCCTTAGGAACAGTATGAATCGACCTCGTCTATAAGGTCTGATCATAATGAACTTGTCTGGGATTTGAACTTTCTGATTTCTCATTCTGAGCATCTAATGTCACCCCCACTGAAGTGGGTGACAATGAGTATATTTAAACTGATAACTGTTCCAAATTGGTCCATATTTAGACACTGAATCAATATGATTGAGTTGCTAAAAGGCATGCAGGTTAAGTGGCCTGATTCTTGGCTGTTTGACTTTTATTGATGTCATAAAATAATTGTATTTTTATGCTTTATACATCACATATCTACAGGAAAAATTTAATTATTAAAACCTAATATTGCAACTTGGTTTTTTAATTTAAATCCTTCAGTTGCCTATTATGCAACCTATTCACTGATATTGTTAAAAGATCAATAACTTCTCTGCTCTCTTCTTGCACCAAAATTCTTCATTTATAGATTACCAATTTCATATATATATATATATATATATATATATATATATATATATATATATATATATATATATATATATGCAGAGATGTGACTGAATTAAAAATTGGCAAGTTAGATCTACTTTTGCAGAAGGTTGTGTTACATATCTAAAATATATGACTGTATCTATTAGCATATGCAAGAAATTTGACTTCAGTTGAATAGTGTAAAATGAATTTTTTGGCATCAGTTACCACAAACTTGAAGCAGTCATATTTTCCAGCAAAATTGTCATTGTAAGTGTTCCATGAAATTCTATGAGAAAGTTTGGCACTACTTAAGTTAACTGGTCTGCTCATCAAAAAATAGAGGGAATAAATTGGTGGACAATTTTTATAGATTAGCATTCATTAGATTTTCCTCTGCCCATGACATTTGTCATAATAAAAAAAAATAGTGATTTTATTATTTTACAAGTGGGGGTCCTGTTCATAATATAAATACAATGTTAAATTGAACCCCAACTTCTTTAAAAAAAAATTTTATTTATAAATTTCCAGGCTTACGGCCAGATGTTGAAATACCGGTTCTCATCCAATCACCAAAGTTAAGCAACATAGAACCCAGTCAGTGCTTAGACGGGTGACCACTTGGGAATACCAGGTGCTGTAATCTTGGATGTGCAGGTGGTCTAATGGATAATGGCTCAGAATTAGAAACTGGAAAACTGTGTTCCAATTCCAGTTGGGTTTGTTATATTCACTTACCTGCAAATACTCTTGGGAAAGGTAAGAATCTACCTCTTCTCTACCCAGCTATGGGTCAATCAGTAGAAATTGTATCAGTAAAGCATTCAGTCAGTTAAGTGCCAAAAGTGATACACACTTTGGTGATCATGTCTCTTTTGATTCATAACTGACTAGGTAGATGATTTTCACACAGTAGGTGGCTATTTCTTTTTGTGATAGACTGGTTGCTAACCAAAGCTATAGAACCCAGTCTATCCTGCTATTCAACCCATAGCTGGGGGGAATAGAGGTGGATGCATACCCCCTTCCTATGGGTATTTGTATGAAAGTGATTGTAATGAATCTGACTGGAATTTGAACTCAGAATATTATCTCAAAAATTCTTAAAATGTAAAAATATTTTCTGGTTTAAAATAACCTGTAAAAGTTTGGTAAATTGTAAAAAAACAAATCACTCAATCAAGTATTTTTGTTTTATAATCTTATAGCTCCCTTAAAAATTGAAAAGTATTTTCTAAGCTTAGCTCAGTTTGGTATAAAGCCACAATTTTGAAGTAACTACTGAGGAACAAACTCATTGTAATTGTTTCTGTATCTTGCTTCTCAACCATAAGATTACTCTGATATTTCCTAAGATTAAAATAACCTACAAAAGGTTGATAAGCCATAAAAAACAAATTAATTAATCAATTTGTAAATGTCCAGAAGTTAACCATCAGTTATGTATGGTAGAGAAGAACCTGATTGGCAGAAGAAACAGAAAAAGGTAAATGTTATATCATTTCAGGTTGTAGGTTATCATAAGGAAACACGGTGTAGTAATGAATAGCGACTCAGATTGAGGAATTGGAGAGCCGAGTTTGAATTCCACTTGAAACCATTACATTCACTTATGTGCTAATACCCTTGGGAAAGTTATGATTCCTCTTCTTCTCCCCTCAGTTATGGGTAAATAGTAGGACTGACTGGGCTCTATAGCCTTAGATGGTAACTGGTCTACCAGAGAAAGAAATGGTAACCAACTGTGGGAATAAATCTCCCTCGTCAGTCATATATCAAAAGATACATGATTGTCTAAGTGTGTATCATGCATGGCACATAACTGACTGAATAATGAAAAGTGTATTGAGCCGGAGTGTTAGGATAAAAAGCAACAATAATAAGATTTAATAAAACTAGTAATAAAATAATAGTAATAATGAAGAGTGTATTGACCCAGAGTGTTGAGATAAAAAAGCAACAATAGTAAGATGGAACAAAACTAGTAATATAACTCTTTTCAAGTTTAACTGCAGTAGCCATATTGCCAATTTCGGTCAGTCATTTTTTAGTTATCACAGTCGGATTTGATAATATAACCTTGAAATCTGAAAACACTATTGACCAAAATGTTAGTGTTGCTATCTGTTGAAATGTATAAAAATCTTTTCTTAAAAATGTTTAAGCACCAGTTCTTGTATGGTCACTGAAGTTAAGCAACATTGAACCTGGTCACGTATGGCACATAACTGACTGAGGTGTTCATGGCTTGCTATAAATTTATCTTCTGCGAATAACTATGACTTCTTGGGAAAGAGAGTGGGGTGGTTTCCTGTTGCCTTTGCCATAGTTTTGAATCTGTATATTTTCCTTCTCCTATACTGACTAACAACCAAGTTTAGAACAACAATTCTATACTCTCAAATCTGTGAGGAAATTGTCCATCATTCACTGCCATATTTTGGAGGATTGATATTAAATAGCAGTTCAGTACTATTTTCTTTGTTTCTGTTGCCTAAGTCTCCTCTTCACCTGTGAAGAAATTGTCTAGCATTTGCTGCCACATAGAAAGATTGATATTACATAAAAGTTCAGCACTCTTCTCTTTGTTTCTGTTGCCTCAAATCTCCTCTTCATCTGTGAGGAAATTGTCCATCATTCACTGCCATATTTTGGAGGATTGATATTTTCTTTGTTTATGTTGCCTCAAGTCTTCTCTTCATTCGTGAAGAAATTTTCTAGCATCCGCTGCCACATTGGAGGATTAATATTACATAATAGTTCAGAACTTCTTTGCTCCTTATAAAATTTTCCTGTTTCTTATTACTTAGCTTTTGGAAGGTATCTTTTACTTTACTAATAGATCTTTGGATTTCATTGTCACCTTTTCTCACCTCTGTTAAAAAAAAAAACTTCCCAGATATTTAAATATTCATACTTGCTTGATATTGGCATTTCCAATTCACAATTCACATCTTCCGGCTCTAGGTACCCCCAACCTCTCTCTCTCTCACACACACGCATACTAGATCCTGACTTCTTTGCATAGGGAAGACAACGATGACAAGAACTTCATTTTTTATGACTAGCAGGAGAACTATTTTTGGCAGCAGTCACACAGAGCAGGAAACTGCAATCAATTGCATTATGTCAAGAACTAAGGGAACTGTGGCTTGATATGGTACCGATACTACCAGAGGTTGTAAAAGATATTGATCAGTTGAAAGTCTAGCTTTAGATACTGATGGCATCCTTCCAGAGATCTGGAATGCTGGTGGGAGCAGAGTAAAATCACTCAAGACTTTAGAGATAGGTATTATAAACCTAGCACTACTTAAATTGAGTGGTCCCCTTATATTATCATTCATATGACTGTCTTCTACCCATGATATTTGCAAGAAAAAGAATATATTGATTTTTATCATTTTAGAAGGGTGATTAAGAATGGAGTATCTCTGAGCTGGTACTGCCCAATTCTCACTGTCCAGTCTTGATAGAATTCAAAAGTGCTTACACGGCCTTATGGGTGATGAATTATTTTCCACATTGTGACCCTTATCCCACAGACAAAAAATTGCTAGTTTCCTAGGATTTTATTGCTATTACTATGGCAGATGTTCAGATGAGTTATATTCCTTAGTCCCACCAACTCAGACCTTCCTGGCTAGGACCCACAGGGCCATATTCACGGTGCTATGCTGTCTCCATTCCCTTCATATTCCTTTGATAAGGAATAAATTCTTCTCAGACAGCTCACAAGTGGATGCTTCCTTGACAACTATGATCTTGGTTACTTCAAGTCCTAGGTCAATCGATATCTATCCTACATCCTGAAAATGTACACTTGTTAATTCTTCCTATCCACTCCCTTACAACAGTGTCCTGGGTATGACAATAAACTACATCCGTGTCTGGGGTATGATGATAAACAACATCCGTGTCCTGGGTATGACGATAAACTACATCTGTGTCCTGGGTATGACAATAAACTACATCTGCGTCTGGGGTATGACGATAAACTACATTCGCGTCCTGGGAATGACGATAAACTATGTACAACAGCAAGGCCTCTGATCAGGAGGTTTTGAGGAGTGTGGAACTACCTCTTAATTGCTGGTGTTCCCAGGTCCACCCTGCCCTGGGGTGGAGCACCTGTTAGGGTCCCAGCTATGGGCAAATAATTAATCCCGAAACTGAAAAGTGTAAAAATAGCTTTTAATACTAGAAATACTTTGTAAAAAAATTATTACCAGAAATAAATTTTTGAAGAAAAAAAAATCTATTACCAGCAGCAATAAGTTTTTGAAAAAAAAAATATTACCAGCAGTACGTTTTTGAAAATAATATTACCAGCTATACAATTTTGAGGAAAAAAATATTACCAGAAATAGATTTTTGACAAAACAAAAATATTATCAGGAAAAAAAGTTGTTGGCATTAAATGACTCATTGAGGTTGATATGCCATAAAAACCAAACCAAACCAAACCCTTACAACAATTTCACTCATTAACCCTCTACCTTGTGTGGCTCTTGGGCCTTTTATTGGGTGAGTTATCTGCATTTTGTTTTTATTTATAAATATCAAGCCTGAAACTGTCATTGATAAATGCTTATTTTATGAATTGGGAAAAGGACAGAAGTATGCATTTATCAAAGATGTCAGCACAGTTTCAAACTTAGCATTAGTAAAAAATTACAGAGTATATTTAAGAAGTCAGGGATCGATTTGACTTTGTATTTATATTATGAACTGGACCCCACTTTTGATATGATTAAAAAGCAAACAGTATTTTTTGATTCTGACAAATGTCGTGAGTAGAGAAAGGTCTAATAAATGTTAATGCACAAAAAATGATCCCCCCACCACAAATAAGTGTAACTTAGATGTGACACAAGACTGAAAGTATGGGACACTCAGTGAGGATCAAACTCACTACTCTGTCGTAATTGTTCTAGTGAGACAAGCTTTCTAACCATTACGCCATATCAAGGTGCCCCAGGAGAGAAGTACAAAATACTGCAGAATAAGTACTGCTGCCATATTTGGGATGGAGCTACCCAATCTTCACTTTCCAACCTTGAATTCAAAAATGTCTACAAGGCCTTGTGGGTGATGAATTATCCCCCCCCACAACCTCATTCTTAAAGATGAGAGGTCACAAGCTCCTCACTACTCTATCGCTATTTCCATGGAAAAATGTTCTGATAAGCTACATTTCTAAGTTCTATTGGTTCAGATCTTTATAGCTAAGAACTGCAATGACATATGTACAGGGTGGAATCTTCTTCATTCCATTTGGAAGAAGGAAGTCAGATAGCTTCTTCCAGAGAACTGCTACTTTTTGGAACAGACACCCAAGGGGATGCTTCCCTGAACACGCCATTTTTAACTTCTTCATTTCTGGATATCTACCATTTCATGTAGATTATCTGGTTATCTACCTTCTAATGTTCGTTATCTGGTTATCTACCTTCTAATGTTGGTTATATGGTTATCTACCTTCTTATGTAGGTTATCTTGTTATCTACCTTTTATGAATGTTTGTAGTTTTTGTTTTAGTTATATTTTGGAATACAGTTTGATATGAGAAATTGTAGGATATATAAACTAATGTCATGAAAGAGTTCATATTGATTGTTTGGTTGGTTGGTTTTGTTTAGTA